GGCCAGAGCTGGAGAGGGAGGAAGGGTAAAGAACAGTTTTTGGTTTGGTTTGGTTTGAGTTGTCTTTTAATAAAAGGGAGTACTTGAACATACATATATACTGTTGGAAACGATTTCATAAACAGGTAGAGTTTGAGGATTCAGAGGAGAGAGAGAATGTCACAAGGGGCAGAGTAGGGAAGAGGGACTGTGAGTCTGGTGGACACATGGAAACCGTCCTCTTCCTCCACTGCAACCGGAGGTAAGGAAGAGATCATGTAGATGCGGGGGGCATTGTGTTTTGTGTAGAAGGAAGGTTACATGACGAGAGGAAGGTATGTGGTTGGTTTACAAGAGGAAAAAAATAATGATATAACTGATTGGAAGAGTGAAGAAACGTGCTTACTAGGGAACTGAAGAAAAAGTGCTGGGCAGGGTTCGATAACCATCTGAGATCGGTGATCATTAATGTAAAGCAGAAGTTCTCAACCAGGGACAATTCTGTCCCCCTCCCCACTCAGGCACATTTGGCAATGTCTGGAGATATTTTTTCATTGTCACAGGTGGGGGAGAGGAGGGTGCTACTGGTATCTAGCAGGTGGAGGGCAGGGAGGCTGCTAAATATACTACAAAGCACAGGGCAGCCCCCACAGCAAATATTATTCAGCTCAGAATTTCCATGGAGCCAAGGTTGAGACACCTTATGTAAAGTTATATTATATTTATGTACAGACCATCTCTATCAGGCCACATAAGAAGACAATAATCCTCTCTGGGGGCAAAAATGGGGCCACAAGACAGGGTGGGAACAGTACTTATTTTCATTCTATGTCCTTATGTACCTTTTAAAATGTATAGCATGTACATGTATTATCTATTCCAATTAATCAAAAGATCAAAATAAATCAGTGATCAATAATTGACTCATCAATTTAATAGATGATAGATTAAAAAAAAAGGAAACCAGTCAGCCTGTTTGGGTAATTTTTCTTCAACAACACTCAGCTGCTGGGATGTCAGCTTAAAGAAAATAGGATTTCTTTGTGAGGGGCATACAGTGCAGGAAGAGAGTATTTTGGAGTTGAGGGTCTTTCTGAAGTACTGATTATAAGGACAGATGATGACATCTAAGTTGAACAGAGAGAGGAGTAAAGATGAGGAAGGAGCTGATGGACATATAAGAAAATAATAGAGTTTATTAATTAGAGGTCTCAATATTTAAAAACCAGTATCTCAGGAAAGAAAATGTTAGACGAATTGAGCTGGAATAACAGGGGGTGATGTGAAAATACAACATCTGAAATCGAATTCCAAAGGAGACATTGTAATTTCTAATGAAAACAAAGTCCAGGCAGAAGCCCTCATAGAGAGTAGTTCAAGAAACTAAGAAAAAGTCATTGTAAGCGGCAAGCACGAGAAGGCAAGAAACCAAGTATTTAGATGGATCCCACACAGCAGTGGCTCCTTCTGGAGAATGAAGTGCCCCTGATAGAGCGGCTCATTAGTAATGGTAGATGCCATTTTTTGATGTTCTACTATGTATCTGATACTTTGGTACATATCAGCTCTCTTTTGCCCAAGAAAGTTCAAGTGACCTGTTCAGAGATTGCATAGTTAGCAAGTGGAAGAATAAAGATTCGAATCTAGGGTTTTTAGTCCAAATTCTGTGCCCTTTCCGCTATGCCATGGCTCTACCCCCAGGGAGAGACAAGTTGTCATCAAATCTATGGAAAATTAGGTAAGCTTAACATTGGTAATAATATTGTTAACGGAAACTGTGGGAGGTGGAGAGGAAGAGAATACATAGAATCAGAGGAAGTCCTGGCAAAGATGGAAAGATTTGCTTCATAGCTCTTCTTACCCCAGAAAATTCTTCTTAAAGTGATCTGAAGTCATAATGAATGAAGAAACCA